CTCACTCCTGCAGGACGAGACAGTTGCGTCAGATCGTCCCCTTCACCTTGCCCACCAGCAACAACTTCACCATTCTTTGCATTATATTTCCATTTAACAATACGATGATTTCCCCAGTCGGCGACATAAATACTTTGATCGTCATCATCAATGTACATACCATGAGGACTATTCAATTGATTTAATTCATCTCCCGATCCATATCCTCCAGCAATACACACACCATTTTGTATCTGCTTCGTCTTTTCATTGAAGTTAGTAGACGGAATGAGTTGTTCTAGAAAAAAACCAAGAAAACGCATTCACAATAACAGTGGAAAGCAATTTTTTCGACTTTTTGAAATTTTTAGGCATAGAAAAATGTAGAAAAACTCTGAGATTTAGTAAAAAACAAGTAAAACTAATGAAGCATACGGACATAACTGATGTTTTGTAAGTAACGACCTCCATTTTTAAGTGTTTTACTCTGCAAAAATAAGTCGTTGCTTATTAAGCACTCTTTACAACAGCGCGTAAAAAATTCTTAGGAAGCTAAATAAAATCGGGATAATTGAGAAATATATCGGAGAATACAGATTATTCTGATGTTTTAGAATTCTTAGATGTAGAGTAACGTAGAGAAGTCGTTATCGTAATACCTATCGGGATTAAAAATATGAAACACGATTTAGCTGCTGCTACTACTGATGTGGAGAGATTGATTTTATGTATCTACTAAAAAAATATTTATTCACGTTCGTTTCACTGTGTTCCTCTTGCGCGCCTCTCTAAAATGGATTTAAACCAACATAAGTCACAATGATATCAAATTTTCAAGATATATAAGGGCAAGAGCGGAGAAGCTATGATTAAATGTTCACCTTCATACCAAGACAATTAAAGGAGATATTCACCTAGCAAGGTTCAAAACGTGACCTTTCGTACAACAAATCCTTCCATTCGTGTTCATTCTATAGATTGAATTTATTTTGTTTGAAAGAGTATCTTACAATGTTTTGCAGTGTAAAGGCTGTTTTTGATATTTTTACTTTTTAAGAAGATCAAATGTCACCAAAAAAAATGTCTGAAAAAACGATTAAAGAATGACACTCTAACTATAAAGACGCTCCTGTAGATAATAATAACAAATCCATGTGAACACGGAACGCAAAAATTGTCAGTTTAAACGGGTTTTTCTTGTGAAACGCCTCTAGACGCAGTAAAAAAAGACAATAAAACCCGGGCCGGTACGCGATTTTGCATGAAGTGTATAGGTGAATGTGGGGTGTGGGTATGGATGTGAATCAAGAGAAGTATCGCATCCACATCCACATCCTTAATAATGATACTTTTCACCAGTTTCTTCTGCCTCATATTTTTCACCTGTGCTTATCTAAACAAAATATTCATTTTGATATAGAATGCCCGTTTTCAAGATAATCGAATTTATTTTGATTTACTTACCAGCCTGCTTACGACTGTCATCCGTATGGATTGTATCAATTAATTCTCTTGGATCTTTGTATTCCAATGATTTTTGTTGATACTGAACGCTTTTGTCATAGTCACCAGCGAGTGCTGCGATTTCTCCAAGATCTTCGTATAAATCGCCAAGTAAAGGATGTTTGGGTGGAAGGTCATTCAATAAACGATTCAAATAGAACTCAGCTAAACCAAGTTTTCCCATTTTCCATAATACTTTTCCTAATGTTCGAAGATTTGTTTCACCACTACCAAGTTGCTTTTTCATATGCACGAGAACAGTTTTTAAATCACTATCATTCTCACTGCACAATGTCATTCGAATAATCCATAGTTTACCATCACTACTGCGATTGACGCTGTTCAAACGAAAAATCGAACCTATCATGAAGAGTATTTCTGATTCACCCTCAAATTCACTTAACGAACTAATGTCAGCGAATGGTTTCGTACTAGTTGATTTAGGATCAGCAACTATTTCAAACAATGCTCGTTCCAAATTCTCGGGTTTATCAGCAGCGTTGAGAAAAAAACGAGCTTGTTCAACTTCAGTGCTGGTAGAAAAGAATGAATTTACGGAAATAAACTGTCCACAAGATTTTTGTAAAGTTTTCAACTCATCATTTGATATTAATTGCCCGCGATAAACACGTAGAGATTCCTTAAGTTGATGAGTTTTCAATTGACGCTGAATATCTGCGATATATGCACGAAATAAAAATATCATATGAATACTTTCTGTACGTAGCACGGCATTAAGAGTTTTGAAAAAGAAAGTATCTCGTGTGTACCACCGTACAGCTTTGTCAGGTGAATATTCTTTTTGAAATTCACGAATATTATTTAATTCAAATTTATTACCTTCATATACTTTTCTACAATGTTTAATAAGTTCATTTGTATCGTCTTGGTTCGATTTAAGTCGTAGAAGACAATCGATAAGAACTTGTGAGAAAACAAATTTACCATCTACATCGCCTGTTGATTTTCCTGAGGTAAAAATATTAATTGATAATGGTTGTTCAATAATTTGTTGGACTTTATGGTCGCTTTTAATTCGAGAAACGAGTTTATCGAGTTCAGTTACAACAGCTTTGACCTGTTAAAGAGGAAAACAAGCATAAAATAAAACTGACAGCATTTTAAATACTGTTACCTTTGGATATTTCTTAGACCATTCTCTGTTACTTGCCTCATCCATGCAGTACACATAAATTGATATAACTTGTCGAACTATGTGAATTGTAGGAACAATCTTTCGTCCTAACTGACCGCTAACAATAAGTATTAGTCGATCTTCTGGCATTCGTTCATTAATATATTTTTCACATCGATCTACATCTTTAAACCGCTTGAGACGATTAATAATCGAACGCAGACCTTGTTCTGTATCTCGATTAGCACCGACTTGTGCATTGTCATCTAGCCAGATAATACAGAAAATTTCAAGTTGTTGGCTATCGATATTTGTAAGAAGATCATCCGTGAATACAGCAGAAGCGGCCATGTTAATCAAGAAAACTTGACTGTATAGCAATTTTTGGATATTGTTTCTTTAATTTAGTTATAAAATGTAAGAGTGACTTTTTAGAATCTAAAACGAACGTAAAATGCTTGTTTTTCCTTTTCTTATTGTTTTGTTTTGATTATTATTAATGAGAGGTGGGAAGAAATTGTCGAACGAGGAGTATATGAAGCCGGAAAATATCGAAAGAGAAATATCGAAGAGCAAAATATCCGTAATCTAATTTGGCATGCAAATGTCGTATCGCAAGTAGATATGACGTATCTTCATGTCTATAATTCATGTGAAATAGACAGTTTAAACCTTAAATGAAAATAGATTAAAAAATGGTTAAAGTCCGATTATGTTTATCGCTACGAAATGTAATTGCACAGGGGTAATTCACCATTCTGAATACAATGGTGATATTTGTTTTTAGTTTTGAAATCATCTGACACCGGCATTTCAATAAATCGGTAATTCCACGATACGCCTCCATGTAAGGAGGGAGCCGAAACTTCGAAAACATTAAAATACCGGTATCAGATGATTTCAAAACTAAAAAGAAATATCACCATTGTATTCAGAATGGTGAATTACCCCTGTGCAGCTACATTTCGTAGCGATAACAGGTCAATTAGCAGAAATCAGGGATCTCTGGAAAAGTCCTATAACTCATGAATGGAGCTAGCTAGAAACGTGGGCCCTGTATAGATCGAAAGAAAACGAATTTTTCTATCGAACAGGCTTATTAAAATTCTAAATTCAAAGGAAAATAGTCTCCGAATATCGTCCTGTAAAATCTTCACCAAGAATTCACCTGATTGGTCAATCGCTGACCAATCATTTTTCGATACAGTTCGATGTTCCTGGATCTGATCTCTCAAATGGTGAAAATCGCAGGTCACTAGCTGCTTCTATTCTCAAGTTATTCAAAAAACAGCCACATCCATTGCTTTTTGAAAACGATAATAATTCTATTTAATGATTACTATATTTATTTATATGGCAAAAACTTACACTTACAATCTGTATCCACATGTTTGAGTAATAGACAATCATAAACTGAATGAGTGGGTATAAACTCAGCTGAAATTTTGTTGTATTTGATTTTACTCGTACGACTTTTCCCGTCCATCCAATTTATGATTCTAAGTACGACAATAATAGAATAAAAAAGCCACTTTTGTCCATAGAAAGAAAATGATATTTCTCTCGTACATAGCTTCTATACGCAAGATGATCGAAGAAAAATGGAAAGCCTTAGCATGAGAATTCAAAGTTATTTGTATTTTATTATTGGTTCAATCATCGAATAATATTATGAATCTAATAATAGCCATTTTCAATACTTCAAGTCTGTAATTGATAGTGTTCACAATCTTCATTGTACACTCTAAAAAAAATCCGTAGCCTAGGAAACCCTTAAAGGATTTCCGAGATTGTAACTATAGGAAACAGCTTGAAGGATTTTCGAGGATTCTAAAACTCGCTAATCTATTACGAAATAAAATGCTCGTGAACCCTTTCGAAAACCTAAAACTCAGAAACCAAAACAGCAGTTCACTGCTAGCAAACCATTTCCGCAACAGTTCACTCATTTTCGAGCACCGATCTCCACATTCAAATACCACCCTCTAGCTAAAACAGAAAAGAAAATGTTAGTTACGATTAGAGGCGTAGCCAGGATTTTTCTATATCCTGGATCTCAGCTTCAGAGCATGGGATCCAGCCGAAACTTACAGAGCATGATATTGGATCCACTAAATGAGCCTTTATGAAGAAGTTTTTGCGGTTGAAGCTGAGGAAAAAAAATTTTATTTCGGGTATCTCCCTAAAAATTTTTTCACTTTTAGTAGTATTCGTTTTTTTTGAGTTTCTTCGTAATCTACATCGAATTTCATTAGCAGATTTAAAATTTTATCTAAAAACATGGATCCGTTAGGAAGTTATAACATTTTGAATTATTGCAAAATGTCGCAAAAATTTTGACAATATTCAAAACGTTACAACTTCCTAACGGATGCATATTTTTAGATAAAATTTAAAATCTGTCGATGAAATTCGATGTAGACTACGAAGAAACGCAGAAAAACCGAATACTAAAAGGGAAAAAGTTTTAGGGGGTGCCCGAAATAAATAAATTTTTTTTCCCAAGCTTCAATCGCAAAGATTTCTTGATAAAGGTTCATTGGGTGGGTCAAATATCATGCTCCGTAAGTTTCGTATGGATCCGATGCTCTAAAGCTGAGATCCAGCATGTAGAAAACCCCGGCCAGAGATGGAGCCGGTATCGGTCTGACCGGTCGAAACCGTCTTATACCAGTCTATATTTTTCAATTTCCTGCTCTATGATGGTATTCATATGAAAAAACAACTGGCACCAAGACTAGTTCCACTGATCACACAGGAATTTATTTAAAAAGCAGTTTTCAGAATGCCCATCAGTGAGACTATTGCTATCAACGGTGAAACATTATACCAGTATGCGTGAAAATACGAGGGTAGCCCGCAAGAGAGTTCACTATGAAACAAGGTTTCATTTCAAGCCTCAGCCTGTTGTCTGTAGATCGATATTTTGTCGCTAGGCCGGATTTTCTCTTTTAAATTGACGTATCATCAGCATCCTGTTTCGTACCGGTAGGCTAGTTTTGGCCGGTAGACCGATATGATCAACTTTTTCCGGTAAATCAGTTTCGGTCGGTAAACCGGTTTGGACCGGTTGAATCGGTTTTTAGTAGTAGACTGATTCCATCTCTGGCCGAAGATACATTAAAAAGAAGTTTCACTGTAAGAATCGATGTAGCGTTGGTAAGCCAGTTTTGTCGGTATAGACTGGTTTTAACAGGTACACCGGTTTCGCCGGCCTAGACCAGTTTTGTCGATCTACCGGCCGATCCGGACCGATCTGATTTGGTTGGACCGGTACTGGTACCGGTCTGAAAAAAACTAGATCGGTTCCATCTCTGACCCTGGCTACGCCACTAGTTACGATTGAGACTGAATAACAAAAAATGGCGTACCATCTTCATTGAGATGAACATCGAAGTAAAATAGAAAGGAAAATATTAGATACGATTGAGACTGAATAACTGAAAATCACTTACTATGTTTATTCAGTGGGGGATGCAAGTTACCGTAACGTTACCAAGTAACTAGTAACGCAAAAGGTACTAGTTGCCGGGTATCGAGTAACTTTTCCGATGCTGTGTTACCAGGAAACAGTAACGCACGATTATTACACTGTAAAGAAAACGTAGAATAATAAACCCTATGAAAAGGGTTTATTAAATTCCTTAACCCTTCACCGTATATTGATAAACTCTTTTATCGTTTATTATCGATTTCCTAAACCCTTTAAGGGTTTATGAGCCTTCCTAAACTCTTAAGAAGGATTTATTATACGTTACACTTTCATAAACCCCTAAGGGTTTATGACCGAAAAAAGGGTTTAGGAGGTCTAATAAACCCTTAGGGGTTTAGGAAATTGATAATAAACGATAAAAGAGTTTATCAATATACGGTGAAGGGTTAAGGAATTTAATAAACCCTTTTCATAGGGTTTATTATTCTACGTTTTTTGTACAGTGTAGTTACTTGAGAACTTTAGTAACGCAAAATGCTGTTCTTGTCATTCCCATTATCGAAATGATTTTTCCCAAATCTCAAACTTCTATAAAGCTTGACGAGTAAATGACGATCGGGGAATCCGAATCTGAGGCCCGATTTTCAAAATTTTGGGGTTGATTTCTTTTGCAAATGGGAGGATATTTTGTGAAAATCTCGATATCTGATAAAGTTTGGCCTAAGCAAATCGGTGGTCGTGAATTTCGAATCTGAAGTCAGAATTTAAAAATTTTGGGTGTGTGGGTGTGTGGGTGTGGGTGGGAATGTGTGTGTGGATCTGAACTGAATACTTACACCAACATGTTCGACGCAGTAGTCTCAAATATGACTGTAATACCACGCTGAAAAAAAAATGGTCACATTACCGAATCTCAGAGGGTTTCGTGGATAAAAAAGGGTTCTGTACAATGTACCAAACCTTTAAAGGTTTCGAGTTTTGCAACGATTTCTGAACCTTTTTAGGTTTCGCACCAAACCCTAAAAAGCCCTACCGAACCTTTAAAAATCACTTTTCGATCGATGACAATCATTTTGAAGGGATCAAATGTTTTTACGAAACCCCTTCGAGGGTTTAGAATTCGTTGCGAAAAGGTTCGGTATGATACTTTTTTTTCTCAGTGCAGAATGGCAAATATGCCGATAGAGGTGTGAGAGTATGAATACGTAAATCAAATGGTGACAAGCAAATCTTAGTTAATATCAGTGCTAGCGATTTATGTAGAATTTGATCAAAGACAGTGAATTTGAAACATATATGTTGCAATGTACTAGTGCGGAAAGAGTTTTTTTCTCAAAGAAATTCACACTACCGTTCGACGACTCTTTTGAAAAGAGATGCGTAGAATACACATATTTCGATGAACAGAAACTAAACATGCTTGCATGAAGTACACAGCAGAAACTCAGCGCATTCAACACAACCATTAATATCTAGTGAATAAGATCACTCGTGGAATCAAGATGTCTTATTGTATTCACATACGCTGCGTGCTCATTTCAAACATCGCTTCATAGCTTCTTTCTACTTGTTTGAAAATAATACAAATGCGCATCGTTCAGTGAAAGTAGTCATTACGAAAACCTTTAAATGAGTTTCATGCTGCTTGAATCAGCAACAACATTGCTTTTCAACATGATGTGTAAACAAATGTGTGCTTACGTATCACCGAAAGGCATTTTAACAATGGAAAGAGAGAGAAAAGAAAGTTATTGAATGCAGCAACAAAAATAAACAGTAGGCAATGCTGTTGAGCCATTTTTTTCGCAAAATAGAGACTTGCGTGTCTTGCATGGTAAAGTGTATATAAAGTTGTTGACAGCAACTGGTTGCTTTTCATAGCAAAAGAAAACAAACGACAAGGTGAGTCTGTGAAATG